ATTCATCCCCAAGCTAATGACAAGGAGAGTCAAAGAAGCCACCTTGACTAGAGAAACAAGTTAGTGTTGGGATGTGGGATAGGTAATTTTGCAAAGATGAGTGGAAAATACTATTCTAAAGAGAAAGGATTTTCCTATAAGCTCCAGCATCCAGTCCTGTGTTGAGACCTAACATGGATTAAGAATGCTTGCCTGTCGGAGCAGAAGGCCTGAGATGGTGCAATATGATGACCCAGGTAGCAAATGGGTATCTCTGTGTCCAGAGCTTTAAAATTTCCTCTTGAAAAAAAATTTTAAAAAAAAAATAAAAAATAAAATAAAATAAAATAAAATAAAATTTCCTCTTGAAAAGGAGGAGTTCCAAAATGGTAACATAGGTTAGCACCACCTACATCATTTTTAAAAATACCAGTTTTTTCACTGCATTTGGTGTTGAAGCTGATTTATTTTTTAGCTTAGAAAACAGTAAGAATGGGTCTTACTGCTTTATTTGATCCTCATAGAAACTGTTTGCAGTACTATCCTCAATTTGAAGAAAGGACTCAGAGGCTCAGAGCTGAAAAGTTCACCCAAGACCTCCACATGCCTCTGTTTCTTCTGATTGAAGTCAGAAGCCTTCCTCTCCACAGCAGCTTCATTTGGTCATGGAGGTCACTTTGAGAGACAGCCCTCAGACGAGACAGTGGTGTTCATAGTGGAGCCAAGGGTTCAGGAGGCATCACAATGCCACCTCACTCACAGAATGCTAGAGACTTTCTTTAGGACACCCAGAGCTGCCTTTTTTTCAACTCCGCACACTTTCTCACTGTACATTACAAATGCAGAGGAGAAAGCCTCACCTCAAGGAGCTTGGACTTGGTAGGACTGGCCCATGGACACTTTGTCTGGGTCCTACTCACAAGGTGGACAAGGGCCGTACTTATGTAACAAAACAATTGTTTTTACTCTCTTAGCAGCTAGAATGCTCGGGAAGACAGGCTGTCACAAAGCAGCTCACAAGTAAAGGCCATCAGAAAAGCAAAACTCCTTTATTTTCCAGCTAACTGTATGATCAAAGAAATAAAGCAGTAAGTTTTAGCTCAGTAAACCAAAAGGGAAGTGGGGCATGGGTATGGGAGAAAAGCAGCTAGTATTAATATACCTAATGTGACCACAGGACCATTTTCTGTGTAGGCCTTAATTATGCCCCATTCCATGTCCCCTCATTCTCTGATTCCTTAAATTCCAAAACAACCCCAGAGAGATCTTTCTGGTTTTGCTTGGAAAGCAGCTCTATGTTTCTGTGTCTGCGCATTCTAAAACAGGCCTGTCAAATCTGAAGATGAAATTCAAGCTGACAGAAATCAGCTACTAACCAATTAAGTTAAATTAATAGAGCAGACGCCTGAAATACAAAGAAAAAAATTTTTTTCAGGAATCTCTCTCCCTGGATGCCAGGCTAGATAGAGTAGATGAAAACCAATCTCAGGCTTCACAGGGAAGCCCTTTCCTTTGCCTTGTTGTATTTCCTAGAGAGCCCTTTATGGGAACCCACTCCAGAACTGCTGCTCCCCCTGGTGGCAGCCTCCAAACCCCCATCTACCAAAGTTTAGGACATACCAAAGACCTGATAAATTGAATTAAAAAAAAAAAAAAAAGAAGAAGAAGAAGAAAAGAGTGCTAGACCAAGAATCTCTATTTCAAATTCAACTCTGCAAACAAATAACTCTGTAGCTCCTTTGAGCTAAAGAGTTCAGTTTTATGAGTGTAAATAATTTGTAAGTATATGTAATAAGTTCAGATTCTGTCCCCTGTAGGTTTTGTCTTAAATTAATATTTAAGACTCTTTTTATGAAGGCAAAGACTTAATCTTCTTTGTCTTTGTATATACATTTTATGGAATAAAAAAACATGCAAATGGTAAATCTCAAGGTCTAGGTTCATTCCTTTCCACTCCCACTATTCCCATCCTAATACAGACCTGTTTGGCTTTTAGCCTGGTGTGAAGGCTCTCCTCCTCTTCATCACCTCTGTGGGAATATTTTCCAAGCTTCAGACCTGCTCAGAAAGCATTATGGCTCACTCAGTAGTACCTGTGCCTGGAGGAACTACTAACCGGTACACCCACCTTTAAAAATGGGTGGCTCAGGCTTGGCAGTGGGTTTTGTACCTCCTACATGAGATCAGGCAGATAGAATGGCTTTATGGGGAAAAAATGATCTGAATATGAAGATCTAATAAATTGTCTGGGGGCTACAGAGAATTGGTTAATAGCATGTGCCCTTTCCTCCCTTTCTGACAATCTTTACCACTCCTGTCCTTCCTCTCATTTAATTCTTCACTCAGAGTGTCCAACATTACCAACAAAAGCATCATTGGAAATGCCAAAAGATGGTCTGAAACTTCCTTATATACCTTAGTTTTACAGCTTCCGCTGCTGAATGGGAAAACCTACTTCAGTTGGATTTTAGAAGTTGATAAGCTGAAATGTAGGAAGGTGAAGGGATTTGCCTGTGGTGACTATTTAAACAATAGCAGGGCCAAAATAAGGTTCAGAAGGCCAGTCTCCTAGCCTCCTGCTCTGAGTGTTCAATTCAAGGAACCTTTTTGAAGGGAAGAAAGAAGGGGTAATGGTTTTAGGGATGCAGCTATCCCAATGGACTTGGGAATTTAGCAAATTCTAATCCTTGACTTTTGAGAGCAGTAAAACAATAACAATGGACTAAACTCAATCATTATGAGTAGTCAGTTCTATTGAAATTTTATTAAGCCTGCTTTTATTATTGCTGTTTGGAAATCATTATGGAGGCATACATGTTCCTGAGACATCATAATGATTTAAATCATAAAGTAAATTTTTAATTTTTTTAAATCTGAAACAGCCTAAATACTTGAGGAAATTTAGCGACCATAATATGTTGTATCTGTTAAGATTCTCTTTTAAGATAGTGATGTTATTACATATTATGTGGTTTATCAAAGATAAGAAGTGTTATAGTCATCTTTCTCTTATTAGCTTCTTTGAAACAGACTAATGTGTACTCGTCTGAGAAAAATCACTTCACATTTAATGAATGTGTGAGTGAAAGAGTGGATGTGTTCTACCCCAGTCTCTCGTGGCCTCCCTCCCACCCCTCACAAAACTCCAGCTAAAGTCCAGTGTCACTTTTGTGGTGACTGTCCTCAACAGTTGTGGCGATGGTGTGGAATGGCACCGAATCAAACACAGACCATCCAGAAACTTCCCTTTAGCTTAGGTTTTCTATTTCCTTCCCCATTTTTACCAAAACTGAAGTAGATTGAGGACTGATACACATAAGCCTTGCTTTGCCTCTTTCCTGCCTTTCCTCTGACAAGAGGTAAGAATAAGCAATGCAATTGGCCCAAGGCCAAAAATGGAGTTGAGAAGCATGGTCCATTGCCAGACTGGTTGCCCACCTGAGAATAACTAAGAGCTGACAAGAGGCATTGCCGAAGTGCTCATACCCATAGAGTCTGGAGAGGACCCAACAGGAGAGATAGTGAAGAAAGAAAATAATTGTATAGTGGGGGAGAACATGTTGCTAGGGCAGGAGGTCTGACTCCTAGTCTTAATTTTACCAAGTCTCATGAGTTCATCTAACATTTTTATGCTTTCCCTCCCAACCTTTCCTAAAAAAATGACCCTTGTTTAAAGCTTACTTCCTGCAGGTAGATGTTAACATGATATAAGGTGAACAGATCTTTGGGTCTTTTGAAACCAGGGAGGTGAAAATTATCACAAAGATGGAAATGACTGACTCTAGAAGCCCATAAACCACCTGTAAGGCATTGCTGTGCCACTGAATGGTTTGCTGACATATGCTGGCCCTTGACAGGTCCGGGCACTAGATCTCTGAGCTTCCTGTCATGTCCACCTCCCTGCCCTTCTGGATTCCCACCTCCACCTACACGATCCAGTTGTCATCCTCCACCTACATGATCCAGTTGTCATCAGCCTTACCAAATCGCTGAAACATCTGCTTCAAGTCATCATCAGTCACTAATCTGCTTAACTGCTATGATGTAGCAGATGGTTCTTAGAAATGGCATACATCCAAAAAGAACCAACAGACTAAGATTGGAGCAGGTTTTGAAGCTCTTGCTAGGATGAGAATTACTCACAATGTAATTCTTATAATTCTTTTCAGGAAAAGCAAAGTGTCTGAACTGGATGGTGATTATTCTGGAATTCTCTACCATTGCCCTGAAGGGCAGGCTTTGCCTTCATTTTATCAGGCACCTTCTCTACAAAGGGTCCTTTATTAAGTATTATGGGAAACAATAAGATCTGGGTTTTATACCCCATAATGTTTACAGACTAATGAAGGTAATAGATGTATATATGACTACTGCGAATTGAGAGGTAGTTAGACATACAATTTCCTTCAAATATATACACCAGGATCCTCTCAACCAATATTTGACTCTTGGCTTCCTCTTACACACCTCCAAGCCTTTACTCCAGATGCCTTACTCCATGTCTGGAAGCCCTGCCTACTTTCCACCATCCAACCAAGCTGTACTCCTCCTTTATGATTTTTCCTTTTCCTTAATAAGCCTTTCCCAAATCCAAAAGCACATTCATTGTAACGTCCCCTCTCAGTCATGATGTGGGTGTTATATGTATTCGGCAAACATATGCTGTCGACTCCAACTGGTATTTTTAGATCAAATAATCAACAAGCTGTATAGGTAATCAAAAGCCTCATTTGGGGTTGCTGTCAGAATTACATCAATCAAAGTGGCAAGAAAGCCCGGGTTCCTGAGTGTCACTGTGGCTGGTTTGTCTCTGTTTTAGAACAGGGTTCCAGGAGCACCTGAGTGGCTCCGTTAAGTGTCCGACTCTTGATCTCAGCTCAGGTCTTGATCTAAGGGTCATGAGTTCAAGCCCCATGCTGGGCACAGAGCCTGCTTTAAAGGCCTACTGCCTTACCAGTATTGAATGCCAAAAAGGAGTCAAATGACCTGATCAGGTCTCCATTTCTTTTCTGTTGCTCCAGGATTCTTCTACAGCCAGATGATTCCTTACAGATCCTGGCACCAGTGGAAGCTGATGTGGGTTTCTACACTTGTAATGCCACAAATGCCTTGGGATATGACTCTGTCTCCATTGCCGTCACATTAGCAGGTAACATGAAAATCTTGTGTAGTTCGATTCAGAATGAAACCATTATTGAGTGTGTGCCTACCACATGCCCAGCAGGCCCAGGAACACATAGATAGATGAGATTCATACCCTGCCTTCAGAGAGATTATAACCTATAGTTAAAATTAAATGGAGATGAGGTATATTAGGAGGGAGAATGAAATAAGTACTATAAATAACCTGAATGTGCAAGAACATTCATTCCATCTGGGATATATTAGAGTCAGAATGAGTAGATTTTGATAAGCAGAGATGGGGGAAATATTCCAGGAAGAAAGAACAACATGAACAAAGGAGTTGTGTACAAGTTCCATGTTAAGGAACACGAGTCATGACCTGAGATCATTGAATGCTCTTTTGAGATCCTGTCATTTCTGTGTTACACCTGTTGCAAAGAAGACTTTAAGACTCACAGGTAGTTAGAATTCTGTGGTCAGGATTTGGAGCAGGAGTGTTCTGTCCAATTCTGTTTTATTTCAACCTCTTGTTCTACTGCACCTGCCAATACTTTCCCTTTATCCATAGGGTTAGAAAACATTCTACACATGATGACTTAAGAAAACTGCTGTGCAGAGTACAGGGCCTCCAAGGTTGTGGTCTTGTCATCATGTACTTTATAAAACCTCTCTTAACATAGGACACAATCCTTGCCTTTGAAACTAAAAAAGACCTTAGGTACCAACTGTACCAGTGCCCTCATTTCTTAGAGGCCAGCTCACCTGAGGTCATGTAGCCACTCAGCTAGTTGTAGAGATAAGGGGACTGAGGCCTCCTGAATCCCAGCTCATTGTTCCCTCCACTTCCCCAATGATCCTCCCAAAGTACGATCCTTTTACTCAGATCTGGGCCATACAGTCTTTCTGGCAGTATGTTGCATGTGTTCCTATTTATTCTTTTCAATTGCTGCTCCCGTCAGATGATTCAGTAGATGCTAGAAAAGCCAACATCACCCCACACTGACCTCATCGGTCCATGCTAGGATTATGTTGTCACACTGTTCTCTAGTCACACATGCTACTCCCTTGCATACCTGTTTAGCAACAGTATTTCTGCCCCCATGACCTAAGGCTGCTCTGGAAAGGGACCTTTAGCAGGAGGCTTTCCAGGGAAGATAAAAGTCAGCAGTGAATAAGGCAAGCTGAGATTATCCTGGGGTGGATTAAAGACTGATATTATTAATGCCCCCCCTTTTTAGTGAGTAGAACATTTGCTTTACTCCTAATGTATTCCAGTTACGGTCTTTATTCCCCTCTTTATACAGAGTCCAGATGCTCAGCACCAATCTCCTAAAATCTCTTCTGCCTTCCACACTTCAACCTGCCTTAGCAAGGGCACTGCTGACATCCTTCCAATTGCTGGCAAATAATGGCTTTTACAGGATTAAGTCTCTTGTTTATGTTTATCCAGATATGGTTCAGCTCCATTACAGACTAAATACCCTTTGTTCACCTGAATTTAATACGATTAATGGAAACCTGTCTGGAATGAAGTAAGGCAATTGTAACATCAGACTTGTCTTCAGCTCTTTGAAGAAGCCCTATTGGAGGCTGCCAAAGTGTTCAAAGCCAGGAAAGAGAGAGCAGCCAAACAGACACTGGGGAATGGGAGGAAGAGGCTGGCCAATGAAGTAGATCACAACCACCACACTTAGGGCTTATGGGACTATGTCCTTGAATTTCAGTGCTGGGCTTTGTTTAGGTCTGCTGGTGAATCTAATAGTCCCACTAAAAAATAAGCTTCAAAATGTATTTTAATTAGTTGCCTTAAGATTGCAGTTGTGTCTTTAGCTGGGATTATCATCTATACTCAAGGCATACCAGATCCTATTCTTCTTCTTCTTTTTTTAATTTATTTATTCATGAGAGACAGAGGGGGTGGGGGGACGCAGAGACACAGGCAGAGGGAGATGCAGGCTCCATGCAGGGAGCCCAACGTGGAACTCGATCCCGGGTCTCCAGGATCCCACCCTGGGCCAAAGGTGGCACTAAACCGCTGAGCCACCGGGGCTGCCCCCAGATCCTATTCTAAACACACCCCCGACCAAGTACTGAAGGGCCTTTAGCAATAACTAAGGCCTGATGCTCCATGATGCTTACAGACTAGTGAAGGCAACAGATGCATACAGGACCACCTAGAATGGGGAGGTACTTACCGTTTCCTTCAAAGGTATGTTTCAAGATCCTGTGTAGTGATGTATAAAATACCACCCACATAATACACTACATTTAAGGGAAAAATGAGTGTCAAGCATTTCAGAATTTGTTTACCCATTATACTGCTTCCCATGAACAAACCATATAACCTCACTGAGTGTTCATTCTCATCTATAAAAATGAAATTAATAATATCTTATGGGATTGTGTATTAAATGAGATGGCATGTGTGAAAAAGCACTTAGCCCAATGCCAGGCACGTAGTTCACACTCAATAATTGCTGCGTTTTCTTTCTCTAGCTTTTCTAAAATGAAACGCATCCTGAAAGCAATTCTAAAATGTGTAAAACATTAGTCCAACTTGGCTTCCATGTATTTTTCATTAGAAGTCTTCACACTGAAATTTTTCGAGTTTGGATTTAGGAACCAGTTCAGCTCACTTGCAATCTAATCTTCATGGTAAATCTCTGTGCTTCCGTACTTCCAAAAACATTGCAGTTTTTGCTTTGGCTTCTGTATGGATTTTAGACTAGAAGGGGGGGAAATCTTTTTGAGGTTCAAGATACTCAGGTGTCTCCATGATTTTGTAAGGAAGGTATAAATTTTGGTCTTCCAGTGTGCCTGAGATTGACCAGAAGTGGGGAAACTTGTTCATAATAATTCACAAGAGCAGGCACAGCAAGACAGTTAAGCCTGCGGGCTCAGTAGCCTGTAGTCTGGATTGGAATCCTGGCTCTGTCACTTCCTGACTGTATAATCTCAAGCAACTTCTTTGCTCTCTCTGACTTGGCTTCTTCATTTGTTAAATGGTAAAAGAAGTAGTACTTGATTCAGACGTTTGGGTGAAGATTGAGTACATTCATTCATATGCTTATAATTGTGCACTCAATATTTGTTAGCTACTATTATTGTGAAGATAATGCACAAAACAAAAGCCAAGTTATTTTTACAGTAGGGGAGACTCCTTTTCAGAAACCAGAATGCTCACAAACGCTTTGTAGAGCACCTCACCTTCCATGTCTCCATGCCAGCCTGAGAAGTTGAATTAACCATCTGTGAAAGGCTAGACTTCCTGGATTCGGAGCCAGGCGGACAGCTTGTGGTAGGGAATATTTCACATGGCCCTGTTGTATGTTCCTTGGCCCACAACCAGACCTCTTCCATTGAGTTGTCCCGTCCTCTGGATTGACTGTGTTGTCAGTTCTGCCTCTCAGATTCATTTTGGGTCCATCGCTACTCTGTACACAATTTTTCTTTAAATATGTAAACACCATTCAGCTTCAGGCATGCTAGTACTGCCAAACCCTTCCTTGGTCTTCCATATTTGGGCTTGTAAAATATTATCTTTAGTATCCTTTTGTTTTTCTCCACACTCATCCATTACATATTGATTTATTTGTAAGTCTCAGAGATTTGAGAGTACTTTGCAAGTACTTTGCTAGTGTGTCTCTGCTTGGAAATGGCCAGCATTTCCTTGTCACCCTCACTGGTTCAGAATGGAAGCTCACAGCCCAGGTAAACACAGGGCCTCAAAATTCCTTCCTGTCCTGAACTGATTTAATTAAATGCCTCTTTCACTGATCAGAATGTAGATGACAGTAACATACAGTGGATGGTATGGCAATAAGGGGTAGGAAGGAGTATAAGAATGTCCCCAAAATGTCACATCCCTAACATTTTGAAGTACTGATTGCTGTAAACCAGTTATAGATGATTCTAGGTGAAGGAGGGTTTCAGGTGTACACAGAGATGGGCACAAAGACGGGAGAGCCATTGCGACTAGTCAGATTCAACACTCAGCCAGGTTGCTCAGAAACCTTCCCATCTGAATGGCAAAGGCAGGGTTTTGAAGGAAAGCAGTAGTTTCCTGGTAAATTGTTTCAGTCTGGATCCATGGAGGTTAGCTCTACTTACCAATGCAGATGAGTCCTATCCAGGTGTAGACCATGGATGAGGTCATAGCCATAAGGGAAACGTTTTTGGTTGTCATTGATTTTATAAGATCACAAAAGAGATACTGTAAGGCCTGCCTGACATCATCACTGGAAAATGAGAAGAAGATGAGGGATGAGCATATCTTTCATTGAAAGGAGAGAATACAGATGAGCTCATCTGAAGTTTTCACAGGAAGAGAGAGACAGAAAATATTTCTCCTTTCCTGGCATGCTTTTCTGCTTTTTTATGAGTTGAATAGCTGACACATACTGTGTCTAATAAAGAGATCACAGAAAATAAAATAAAAGGAAAATAAAAATAAAAGGCAGTTGTCCTTGAAATTCTTCTTTCTCTACCCTCCCCATCATGATTTAGTAGCTGTAATAAAAGGCAAGCAGTTTTCTAAGGTTCTTATAACATAAGTCATTTCAGATTGGCATTTCTGAAATTTTTATCCAGCAATTCTATTAACCAGAGGTGGACTTTGCTTCACAGACAGTTAGACTCAGAGAGGGTCCTGTCACCAGTGGCAAAGACAGAAAAAGGAAGGTTTTCTCCAGTGCACTAGATCAAAGGGAAAGGTAGACAAGTTTGGCTATATTTCAGATGGTGCTCTGAACAACAGGGTAATGGCCGTTGACTAATCCAGCCTGCCATCAAGGGATTTTATGTTCCTAAGTTTTGTTCAGTATCTACAAATGTGAGGCATGCCCACTAAAGAGCCCTAGCTTTTATAGAATAGATAAGAATATAGCAGGAGAATCCTACCAACTTCCTCTGTTCCTCAGTAGACTAAAGGAAACAAAGAAGTACCAATGATCCAAGCTAGCCCATCTCAGATTCTGAAAAAGTGATTCTCATGTCTATCCAAAGGAATGAGGGAAGGATGCGTGG